AAATAAATAAAATACTAATTGATTATAAATAATAAATAATTAATAATACAAAATGATTAATAATATAATAGAATTTTCTGGTAACTTTTGGATTTTTCGTATAATCTTTGTTTAATTCATTTTTCTTGTCTTCGTCGTCTTTATATTTTAACGTGATGCAGTCAATATGCTTTTTAGTTACATGTATCACATGATCTTTTGGATCAATATCTTCCTATAACAATATATTATAAAATGCTTAGGACTTTGGAATTTTAAGATCATCAGGAGTGAAACTAACTATATGTCTTTTTAGTAGATCTGATCCCTTTGGGATTCTCTCTATGTGAAAAGGTATAAAGATTCCATTTATATATACTTTCATGAAGCTTAGCATCAGATGATAATACTAATTGCGTCTTGTATCTTCTAACTTTTTCTTTTCTAACAGCAAGATATAAAGCATTTCAGACGAATAAAAAAAAGAACTGCAGATCAAGTATTTAGGAATGACTATTTTGATTATATCTATGATATTGTAATTACAGATATGAAGTGACATTTTATAATATATATTTTGAATGGTATTTACTATACAAGTTGTAGTGAAATACTAGATTAATCTCACAAAGTTAGCTGTCAAAAAAATCCTGAATTACTTTGTAGCAATGTAAAAGAATGATATGTATCATTGTAGAGTTGTTAAAAGATCATATTAGTATAGATAGTTTTCTAGCTAGCAAGAGGGCTAGAATCAAAAAAATTATCAAAAAATAATATATATCATAGGCTTAGTTCAGACTTTTGTATTTATTTTTTGCATGTAATAATAAATTTTTTTCTTAAAAAAAGTGATCTATATTTTAAATTGGAATGGATACGTGATTTTTTATTATTTAATTTAAATATTTAGTGTACTAAACAAGTTTTATTAATTATGTTAAATGCATAATCTATTGATTCATTAAGAGAGGTAAATGCTAGACTCTTAGTTGAGATTTCTAAACTCAGAAAGAAGTTTGCAGAGGTTAAGACTGAGAATGTGAAGCTGAAGCTGATTATTAAGGAAAATGCTAGACATTATATTAGAATTAAGGAATTAGAGTAAAAAAATATGAAGTTTGAGATCAGACTAGTGATAGTGAAATAGGATTTCTCAATAGTGGATGATCAGCTACATAAAAAACTAATATCAAAGAGATCTGTAAAGCAAACCATATCAGATGTTGATTTATCCAGCTTTGTATCAGACCAGCAAAATAATGATGATGTTAAGATATCAGAAGAAAAAGAGATGGATACTTTTTTGATTGAAGTAAATAAGAAAAGCATTAGTGATAAAATTAGAGAGAGCAGATAAGAAAAAAAGGTTCAGGATAAGATGATTATTAAAGACTCATCTTTTGTTACTTCAGACTTAACTTACTGTGAGGAGGACCTTTTCATAACTAATGCTGAACTTGTAATTATCCCAGAACAGGTAATCAAAAAATTGATTTTAGTCTGTAAGTCAGTTACCTCTAGTAACAAATCATCTGCTGGATATCGTCAGTAAAATTACTTATAGCAGACAAACGAGTTCTAGCTTTTGAGAATACAGAGACAGAGTATCAAAAAATTTCTTATAATCAAAAAGTAGAGCAAAATTTGAAGCTATAGTTATCCTTCACTAAAGTTGGTGATGGTAAGATTAATAAGATGTTTGATATTCAGATTCCTGAACTCTCTTTAGAAGCAATTCTGATAGGATCTAGTGAAGTTATAGTATAGAATATAGTTAATCTATTTAGAGTAACAATGAAGCTTAAACATAAGGAGATTTTATGCTAGTATTATTACTATAAGGCATATGAGAATCGAGTTAAAGATGTTAAGTCTAAGAATGATATTGATGACAAATCAGCAAAACATTAATGTATAGTAAAATCAAACCTCTTTTTTCTGACATTATTGATGTAAACTTACGTAAAATAACTTTCAGAGCTAAAAAAATCTATATATTGTTTGATGATATAGAAATAAATAGAATCTAAATAATTAACTGTAATGCAAGTATCATCTCGAATTTATCTGATAATCAGATCTAAGACATTATAAATAATTATCCTCCAAAAGCTACTAATACAGATGATGTAGATTATAATGACTCCGTTTCAAATTGGAACAGATACGTGACTTTAAAAACTAATAAAACTGATACATCAGAGATACAAGTGATAACTGCATCTCAGTCAACCTATGACCATGCCTATTTTCACAACAAAATATTAGATTAATATCCTAATTTATATAGAGAATTTAGTAGTGAAAATGTTAATTATTATGGAATTACTGACGAGACTTCATATCCATTATGCAAGTTAGATCATGATGATGAGAAAGGTATAGAAGGTAGATATGAAGCCAAATCCTATTTTATTAAACGTAAACAGCGTGAAATTGAGATACTTGTATAATCTTATTACCCTTTCTTATATCATAGATACTTTGAAAAATAGCCTAACTATTTTCTTAAAAATATGATAAAAAATATTAGTAAGCTTTCTATTAGGAAATTTTAATCTTTTTTTTTGAATGAATATGAGAATAAAAGGGATTTAAACTGATTCACAATCATATAAAATTTAGACATGACCATGTCTGATAAAATATTAACTCCTGAATACTTGGATTAGCATGTCAAATTAAGTGGATTACCAAGCGTTTTGATAGATAATATTCATTTTAATTTATATAAAAGATATAAAAAAGAAACTGGAAATGAGCTATGGCAATTATCAAAAGCTTTCTTCTTGAAAATTTAAAGCCAAAAAACAAAGTATCCTATTTATCTTTTTTTGAGCAATATGAAGAAAAAGGGCTTATCACTTTTAAAGTCAAACCTGATCAAGAGTTAATTATTAAATCCATGTTAGAGCACTTCTCATACTTAAAATTCAGAAATAGTTTTAGAGAGATTAATAATTATAATTTTGCATCACCTCAGCTGTGGTGTTCACCATGTCCTATTTGCGATGAAAAACATGGAAATTTTAGATTACATAGCTCATGGTACTGTGAAAATGAGAATCAGTTCCCTTATAATCCTGAATTAGCAAAGTTGTTATCTCAAGATAAGTTGGAATATTATCTTACTTGCAACACTTTAAGCAATAAATTTAAGTTTGCGATTGTGATTTAGATCAGATAAATTATGAAGAAAAAATATTTGTATATTATTTTATTTCTTTTTTTCAAATCTTGTGGGTGACTTATGCAAAAGAAACTGAAATCTGATATGTAGTTGATATCAGAAAAATTCTTGCCAAGATTTTTTTGAGATCATATGATTAACCGATAGATCCCTCTTCTATTGGTTAGAAGTGTAAAGAATCTCCACAATTATCATATAACATAACGTATATCATGAATATGTCTCCTTTGTTTCAAACTAGAATAAAGAAATATTGTTTGAAAAAATAATTGTGTATAATAATCTACAATCATAGAATAACATTATATACTCAGAGCTAGTCCTGCACTATGTAATTTATCTTAGTTTAATGTATTGCAAATAAAAACGTTTAGGGCACTAAAGGAAATCTAGATCGGTAAATTATTGGGCCAGCGAAGATTTAGGAACTTTTATTCTCAAACTTTCTTACATATTCTCAAAAAATATTATGTATATTATTGTAAAAGGACCCCTTGATGATCTTTACATATAGATAGCATTAAATTCTTTTATTGTTATATTAAGGAGAATCCATTAATCAGATTCTCGCGATGCAATAATATTAACATAATTTTTCCCAAAAGCGTATAACAAAATTGATCTTGCAAATTGTATAAAAAGGTGATGTCCCAGCTAATGAATCCTTTTATCTGCCTTGTGCAAGTAAAATAAAAATCAACAATATCTCTAATCATATTTCTGTAAAGTAATAATAAAGTGAGTTGGTTTATTGTTCGGCTAGATTCTTAAAACATGTCATTATGACGTTAATCAATTTTTCCGTCCCTATAGATGTTTCAAAATAAAACGGATGTATTAATCTTCTTATTATATATAGGCATTTTAATCTTTGCTAAGAAAATCGCTGACCATCAGTATGCATATAATAGGCGCAAGTAAAATTATTCACATGAATTTCATCACATGCAAAGGTACAGCAAAAGTTGTATGCAGTACATCAAAAAATAATGTTCAGCGCAGTATCATACTGAAGATAAAAAAAGTCAAGGTGGATTGGAATATTCTGAAAATGAGATGTAACAGTAAGTGTGAATCAGTAACATTACATTACTTTTTTTTACATCAGTTGCTAATTTTCTGATTTATGCTGTAGATTTGAAATTATTTAATCTCGTAAAAGTTCTCTTATAGGGAATAATAAATAGTCTGTGCGGGTGTGTAGTGATATAGATATATAAAAATTCTGTAGATATGTATGGGATAATTTATTTCAAAAATATAGTGTAGAAAAAGATATAAGTGAGAATGTTGTAATTAGTAGCGAGAAACTAGATATTTTTTGAAAATCTGAGAGAGCAAAGAAATAACTTAATGCTAGAACTCACATTAAATGGCTTAGGATCCGCGTACTCCCTTCCTCTTTGATAGCATCATATATTTTACTTATTCTTTCTTAATTGTAAAGGTATATCTCTGCTAAAAAAATATATTATACAAATATGTACTACTGTATACATTCATAATTCTAATAAATTTGCAGTTAAATTTGCATATGCTTTATTTTTTTTCAAATACTTTTTGTATGGTACTTTTATACAAATTACTAAATAAAACAAACTATGCAATACAGTTTACTCTACGAATGATAGGGTTATATGAATATATTGGATTTAATTATAAAATAAGTGTTAAAATCAAACAGACAGGAATTATTTTCACGTCAATGCTTATTTTTTTTTTTGTTGCTTCTTTTTTCCATTCATTTTCGATTCATGCTTTAGTGATAACTTAGTTACATCAATATTAACATAAGCCTCGGGTGATTTTACCCATTCTTCAGCTTCTTCATCATATTCATCCAATGGGATCAATTCAAGACTATTCTCATTGACATAACGAAGATTTTTCTGATGAAAAAGATAATTTTTTAAAGCTGCTTTTATATTATCTCCTCCACGTACTAGGTTATCATCTAAGCGAGACCAAAGATAAATAACACCATCAGGAACTTCAAGCCAAAAGCAGTAATTACTACATATAAGTACAATGCGATAATCAATAATGCGATAAATTTCATCTAAGAGTCAGATCTCATATTCAGCTAAGATATCATTGTTTGTCGTCTTATAATATGAATATTTATTCTTTAATAACTCAAGAAGTGAGGTCACATCCTAGGTGTATTGTGACTCATGGTTAGGTGGCAATTCGTGCAAGGTGGAATTATTTCTTGAGTTACTGTCTTTATCGCACGAGTTCCGATTGGTAGTTCCTGTCTCTATAATACTAGATAGAATAATGTGATCATCTCCGCACAATTCCTGAATGGCCAGAACTCTAGACTCTTTTCAAATTTCCACTCGTGTCCTAAGGAAAGAGATGATGGATCTGTGAATCGACTTCCTGTCATAAACTTACTAATTGTTTTTTGGTACTTTTGTTTTCTATTAGCGACGCCCTGAATGAGATTTTCATCTTCTGTCCTTCTAATTTCCATGCCACAGCTATTATTGTCAGTTGGATTTGGTCCTTGATTTTTATGTTCCTGATTGTTCTGACATTCTTGGGTATTGGCTCTAAAATTAAAACCCATTTCGCCAATTGGTTTAAGTGTTAGATCCCCATTTTGTCTGCTGATCGAGTAAAGTCAAAGACTCTAAAAGTTTGCTAATGTTGATCGTATAGAAGAGGGCAAGAGTATCCCATATGGTGGCAACTAGGATCGTCACTCCGTCTATGTTTATTTTCAGGCATTTTGGTTTCCTATTCTGATTTCTCAGAATTCTTTGTTTCTCTTCTCTGAAATATCATACAAGCAGTAATGTGACATTTACTTAAGATACAACATAATATTTAACAATACCTGTAAGGTATTAGAAACATATCGTATAAAAATTCTTGAAATTTTGCTCGTATCCGAAAGGCTCTCCAGGTACGTCCATAACTATGGTAATTTTTTTTTCAGACCAAAATAAAAAAGATAAATAAATACTCCAGTAAAGGTAGTGACTTACCTTTTTCTCAGTATTTTTTTTTTTTTTTAACGATGTGGCACTGCCAATAACTTTATTAAATTTATATAGGAGAAATACAAAGTAAATCAATAAATCTAGACTAAGTACTGGTTATCCCCCGTAGTTATATTACAAACCGTTTGAATCAACTGATCATCGTCTTCTTCCTCTAACAAATCCACTAAGTATATACCTAATGAAGATTGCTATTAACAAGAGAAGAAAAAGAAGGAGTCAGTGCTTATCCAAAAATCTGTAAAGGTGTAATCGAATTTATTTGCCATGTGTATCCAATATTCCCAATTAAGTGTAGGACTTAATGTCTCTTCATGTCTCAAGAATGAACTGGCATTTCGTTTAGTCTTATTTTTGATTGTGATGCCTAATTAACATTCTTTTGCTATCATTAGATTACAACAGTGTTTCTAAACATCCTCAAATAATTTTTGATGAAAAATTATCAAGGTTTGAGTGATGGTTGAGAAACATTGACCCTTATTTCTGGTAATTTTATGAACTATGTCTATTAAAGAGGAAGGAATAAGAGAATAAACAATATTGATGTAACCATTTGTTCTAGATGAGGAAGTGGCAAGGATGTCATTTAGAATATCTAGTAATTCTGGAAGGAACTCAGTAAGTTTGAAGATATTTAATTCTGTGAGACGATAGATTAACTCATCTTTGGTAGCTTGAATAACATTTTGTAATCTTGTAGTATAGGCAGGATAGGTTCAGAGGTATTCAGAAGTTTTTGTATCCAGTTCATAGCCTACACAACACTAATATTCATATAAATCAGGTTGTAGTATAGATAATCTTGAAAGGGTTGGTAGTTCATCAACAAAGTTTTTTATAATGAAGGTCTTAAGTTTATATGAGGCAAATGAAGTAGTGAGTGAGGATGAATTTTAGGGAGAATAAAGACCAAATAGCAAACTAGCTGATAGAGTGATTTCTGGTAAAACGTCTGATATGACCGTTTCTATTTAGATCAAGAAAGTTGCAGAAAGTCTTGGTAGAAAAAAATTGTTTGAAGAAACTTCAAATAGATATTTCAATTGGTACGTTATTAAAAGTAAAGACAAGTTCAGATAAGGGAATATTGTTCAATACTGGAATAATGGAATAGGTGTTACATCCAGCTTTGGCTAGTTGGTCTGCGAAATTATTAAAGTGATCACCAGTATGTGCTTTGACTTTATAAAATTGTATATTAAGCTTCATTATATCCACTGTATATTTAATAAGATGCCAAATAGAGTGGTTGGATATCTTCTCGAATTTTCTAGGAGAAAGGTCATTGTTTAAAATATATTTGGAGAATCCTTGGATAGTAGCTTGATTGTCTGAGAAAATGTTGACAAAAGAAGACTGTGGTGATACTAAAAGAGCAGTAAGAAGGGCATACATTTCAGCACGTGTTGATAAAGGCCAGTTCATCATCAAGGCTTTGAATGTATGATGATTTTTGGATGAATCAATATAAATCCATCTTAGTCCCATTTTGCATAATTCTGTTTTTAGAGAAACTAAAGAACCATCAGTGTAAAATGTCAGGGATGTATTATCAGCGAGTGTCATACATAAGGATTTAAGCTCAGTTAATGTTGAGGAGGGGAGAAACAATATGTCAATTAAGTAATTTGATAGCGGGTCAAGAGGTTGTTGCTCGAGATAGGAGGTAAAGTAAGAGAGATAAGCTACCCTTGAGATTTCAGCAGGTGACTGTTGTAGTTGATTTTTAAGTGTGTGAGATTGCTTTTGAAATAAATCAACTTTAAAGACTCTATTTATGGGAATTGTGAATATACAAGTGTCAAAACGGATGTTGGCAGAAAAAAGGTTGCAACTAGTACATTTGAAAAGTTGGCTAATATTATCATTATTTGTAAGGCATACAAAGTGTTGACAAACATATTGATTATTAGTTGGGTTTTTGATGATAATTTGACCAAATGAGAGGTTATTGATTGTTGGATTTCATGAGGTGATAAATTCCTTTTTATGATCATTTGAGAGAGGTAAATTAGTTACAAAGTTATATCATGGTAAAGGAGAGGTTAATCTAAATTCTGGTTTGAGGAGTCATTGAGTATGGTCTTCTAAAACAATATCTGCTAGTTGTTTGAATAGGGTTTGTGATCCAAAGTATTTAGAGTGATGTTTAAAGTCTTTAAGTAGAAAGTCAGCTTTTGTGATCAGCTGGTAGCCTGAAGCAGAGATTAATTAATCTAAATAAATTAGGTTGTGATTAGCCAAGATCTTTTTAAACGACATATAAAGTCTATAAGGAAAAAGTTTTGCGAGAAAATAAGATCCTTCTTTGACTTGGTTAATGAGAAACGGAAAAGCAATGAATGAAAATTTAGACAAAGTGGATTTAATAAGAAAAAAGGAGGCGCCTATAAGATTTTTATAAGAAAGTCTATCAAATGGCCGTGACCAAAAATCAAGGGAAGAGGTGACAAGGAATTGTTGAGATTGGAGTTGAAAGAGTCTTATAACAGAAATATTTTTGTAAGTTGTAGAATTAGTAAACTGATATAAAAGAGCGGTAGAGAGAGATTTAATTTGTAATAACCAGAGATTATTCAAATTGTAGAATTGTTTGAAATTTAAAAGAACATTTGGAAGAGTAGATGCAAATTTGTTCTTTTTCTTGAATAATGAACGCACAGGTGCAAAGAGCATCATACATTCTTATTGAGATAAGGGTGTTAGTTGCATTCAATATTCTAATAGTGGACAAAGTACCATATTAATAATATATGAGATTTGTTTATCAGTTAAGGATTTGTAACGCATTAAAGAAATAAAACAATTTATATCAAAAGTAATTTATTGTTTGATGAATTTTGAAGAGTGGCTACTGTTGATCCAGACTCCAAGAAAGTGGATAGATCCAGTTTCTGGTATAATATCAATTGTAGATGATCCAAATTTAAGAGGAATTTTTGTGTTATCTAAAGATTTAGTAGTCAATAGTTTGGATTTGTCTTTGTTGAGTGCTGATCTGGTAAGATCATAGAATTCTTCAACGATTTCAAGTATAGATTCTAAATCTTGTTTTGAACTGACAATCCAATTAGTGTCATCCATAAAGGCGAGTGAAGAGACACTAGCAGTTAGAGAACTGGTGGCCATATTAGTCAAATTAGAGGTCCAAGTGTGATTAATAGTGTATCCTTTATTTAGTGAGGCAACTTCACAAAGAAGAGGATCTAAGTAGATGCACTAGAGTAAGAGTGATTTAACTTCTCCTTAATCGATACCAATTTTTACGTCATAGTAATCTGAAGTTCCATGTGCTGTAAAAACAGCATTTTTTCTTGTAGTGAAAAGATTGATCAGAAGATCGGTAGCCAATTGGAGAACTTTGATGTGATAGAGGGCTAGACGAAGAAACTTTAAGTCTACTCTATCATAAGCTTTAGAGAGATCTTGGAGTAAAATTCAAATTTCTTTTTTGTTTTCTATAGCGTCTTCAAGCAACATATTGACAATTTTGATAGGTGCTTCAGTTGATCCACTAGGTAGACCAGCAAAATTTCTACCACGTAGTATGTTGTGTTTAGCAAGTATTGTGAAGAGTCTGTTAGTAATGATTTTGACAAAGCCTTTTTGACATGTTTCCAACAATGTGATGGGTCTGGTTTTTGTTATGTCACATTCCTATTCTATAGGCTTTGAAATAGGATAAATATGGGTGATTTTCCATTCGTTAGGAACATCGCCTAAGGTGAAATACATACAGATGAGTTTCCACAGTAAATTTTAAAGTTTATCTTCTAGATAAAGAAGCATTTCGTTAGAGATTCCTGAAAGGCCAGCAGCTTTATTATTAGGAAGTGATTTGAAAACGGCAATCCATTTATCATATGTAAGTGGTTGTATTAAATTTGAATAGTATGATTCGTTAACATAATCTCTAGGGTGGAATTGGTCAGTCTATCTAGAAGATATTAGTGGAGCAGGTGAAGAAGGAAGTGCAAAGTTTTGGAAATGATTGATAGTAGCGCTTTTGATCTCATCTGAATTAATTGTGAAATAGTTTGTAGAGGTGTTTGGATCTTTGATAAGTAGGCGGTCTAACACAATAGAACGTTTTTTTCTATTTAAAATTGAGTCAATCATTTTAGAGGAGTCATTTTGGAGGTTGTCACATCTTTTGTCGATAAAGGTTTTGATAGCTTTTTCTTGAATACGTTAAACATCAATTTTAGCAAAAGCAGAAAGTGATTTGTGAATATCCTTGAGTTGTTTTTTGACATTACAAATGTTAGAAACGTTTAACGAGAGGGGAAGAGTGACTGTAGGAAGTTTGGCCTTTATGACTAATTTGTTTACAGCTGATTTGATAGTTTGACATTCAATAACGTTTGGCCAAATTTGTTATTGAATGAAAGTGTTTTTTGAATTTTAGTAAGAAAGAGGCAATTTTGCGTGCGCTTATTAGAGAATCAGATTGTTCGAAGGGATGTTTGTGATGTTCATAAGGAGAAATCCAAATTTGAGGGATACAGCTGCGATTTGCTACAAGAATAGCAGTCTTGATTTGGATCCATAGGATGTTCAT